CTGATCGGTCGGTAAGCAGTAGGTCAGATGCTGATTTCCCGGTTTAAGGATGGTACAATCTTTGCCGTTTTCCAGGCCTGTGGGAAATGCTTGCAATTGCATGATCCTTGTGAAATCTTCGCCAGGATGAATATGATCTTTAGTGGCAGTTTTCTTTAACATGGAGTTTGTGACCCATCCAAACCAGGGCTTTTCCTCATCTTGAGTTTATTGACACAGTCAGAACCTCCGAAGGCATGACTGGAGGGATGTTGTTTATGTTTGTATCTGTTGTGATGCTGTTGTGAAATGTGTAAACAATGTTTTCTGTTGCTGTATCATGTACGTTGTTCGTGCAAAACTGAGATTCCAGATGCTGTGCTAACAATTCTGCCTTCTCAGTTTCAGTGTAGTGAATCCGCGTGGGGCCTTTAAGGGGCGGAATATTATTGTAGCATTTAGTATACCTGGAGACAGCTTTCCACAGTGAGTTAAGGTAGCTGGTCCAGCTGTGTTGTGCTTGTTCGCGTGTAAGAGACTTGACTGCATTTGACAGGCGATTGAACTGCTGTTTATCTTCTCTGCCCCTTGTGCATTGAAATCTTCTGCGTGCAGCATTTCTTTGTTTGATTAGTACTTCCAAGTCTCTGTTTCTCACCTGCTTCTTTTTTGGAATTTCAATTTTTGCTCCGTCATGTGCAGTGTTGATTTTTTGGGTAAGCTCCTGAATAAAACTGTCAATGTCATCCCCAGTCTGTATCGTAGGGAGTGTGTAGTGTATGTTGTTGAGAGCTTTGGCAAACTTATGCCAGTCAATCCTAAAGGCTCTTGTGTCTGTTGTGGTATACCTACTAATGTCCAGAATCATCTTACCGGATTGTGTCCGATGACAGTTCGTCCAGCACGGAAATACAGTGGAACACTGGTATTCCGAGCAGGAAGAAGTCAAGGATCCCGGTGGACTAGTGGTGTACCGTGTTGGGTTTTTGGAGCTGCTATGTGTAATCCGCCAAGTGGGCTAAGTTGAAAATTACACGTCCAGTGTCGTTTGAATTATAGCAGTTCCAACGCGCGGTGTCGTGCATTTAAGTCTCTCCACCTAGGATAATGTGTTACCTAGAAAGTATATTGTAAGTCAGCCAGGACTGCAGAAACTTGACGTCTGGGGGAATGTAAAGTGGAGACAAGAATGTATGTTGTGAAGTGTTGTGTGTGAGTGAAATTGCAGAGGCCTCCACGACCGAAAGCTGCGGTATTGTGACGGAAGATGTGGGATGCAGCGTTTAATCAGGAGCGCCGTTCACCTCCTTTGGGCGGGAGAGCCGGAGCTCGTTCGATCTAGAACAACATAATTGGTACGTAGATAGGAATGGCTGGGCCAAGCTTGGTTCTTGTAGGAACATAACGTCAGGAGTGTACTCATTTATAAAAATTCTTAGCTCATGAATTCATGAGATAATCCATTTGCGTTCCATGTAATTATGTTTAACACAGAATTCAAACTATACATTATTTACAGTATTTACAGATCCAAAAAATCTTAAATAGTTCAAACAGAATAATAATTATCTACCGTATTTGAGTAGCCTGTAGTTCAGGCATTTTTTGTCGTGATCTTGCGTATAACTTAACAAAAGATTCATTAAACATATAATTATATCTTTGATTAATTTAGACATCTCAAAAAGGCAGACGGCCCACATCATTCGTGTTAACTGGCTTATGGATTAGTCTCCATTGCACATGTTTTCCTTTTGTATCTCACCCGTAGTCTGGGGAGTTTTTCCGGCTCAAAATTAGCAAAGGAATTCCGGGTTTGACATGGCTTTCCTTAATGGGTACTGCTTTTTTATTTTGCGGTCTGGCACCTGAGGAGGGGAATTTAGGGCATGCGATAATTCACAGGATGTCCTGCCTGCCCACAGTTACGCATTAACATCATAATAAATTTGTGGAAAACTCCTCAGTTTGTGGGTGCCAGCCATTAACACATCGGGGTCTCAGCTTACAGTTTCAGATGAGTGATGGAAGTGCTGGCATTATGACATTGCACAACATCCCATTCACTCTATATGGGTTAATACTCACATAAAAATCAAGAATTTAGAAATCATAAATTTTTCAATTTCGGGGTACGTTAGTGGGAAACAAGGGCATGGGGGACTCTGTCTAATCCTTGCATTTGTGCACCTTGTACTTTAACTAATTGGTAATTCTCATGCACATTTCCGTAGTACAACAATGAAGGCCCTGAGACCACTTTGATGGCCTATCAAACTTAGAGAGTATGATATATAATGGTCGACTTCTTCTCATCAAGAAAACTTGGTGATTGTGCGATGGTCTTCTTCAGTTTCGGGAAGATTTTTGGAGGAAGTCCCCTGCACCTTCCCGCAAATTCACATTTAACATTATCCGCAACACCTTCATAAATTCGTTGAACTTGATATTCCGGCTTCACCTTATGGTTTGGGTTTTGGAATTTCACGACAAAACTTTCCATAACCACATCGTCAATTCATCATAGGTTTGTTATATGAAGTGGTACTTAATTTTTCGAATTATTGGCCAGTGGCAAATCGGCTTGCATTTTATTATTTTGTAGGCGCGCAGTGGTCTCGGCGATGAAACCATCTGCGTCCCATCATATTAATGAGCGTTAGAAAATTTTTCGAAGGGCGCTTGGCCTGGTTGTTGACCAGATGATACAACATTTGAACATTTGACTTAACATTATCATATTGTACTTAAATCATTTGCAATAGAAAACAGGTTATTAATTAACACATTTTACATGATTTTACATATCTGAATTTAATCACAACAAGGGCAGTAGCAGCACTTTGCACTTACCTCTAGGCTGGATCTCAGCGATGTTCCAATTGTTGCCCTTGTCCAGATTCTCTCGATGCGTTTCACAATCGCTCGTCAGTCATCAGGTTTAGAAATATTCACGAGTCTCCCCGCGCAATGAGGTCCGTGTTGATTTTTGCGACATCTCCACTCCGCGACAAAAATCATGGAGCTCCAAGTTCCTTGCAAGAGTTCCTGCCGCCAGTCGAGATCCGGTTTCCAATCCAAAATATCAGGCGAGTCACACAGTTTCACAACAGTTTTCAATCCATTTTCCTTGTCCGGTAGCGGCGGAAGTCACTGCCCCATGTGGGTCGAAGAAAACACTTTCACACACACAAGAAATCTTCTAAAAATTCACAAAAATCACAAGCGAAGCACTACACTAGATCAGAGAAAAAAACATCAACACAAATAATCTTGTAATCCAGTATGAATCGCACAAAAGAGGTATAGCCAAAAAAACACAAAACCATAAGATGGCAGCGAAAATGGCGCAGGCTAGCACGAGGTAAAATGGAGCCTCAAAAACAGTCCTACACACACCAAGTCACCAGCCGAACTCCTCTCCCTCCAAAACATCCAAAACTCCCACAAGGAAATGTGGGAAGAAGGAGGGGTGCAGGTGCAGCCAGAATGACGTCAGCACGCAAGGATCGACGCATCCGCCGACCATCTGTTGCGGTCCTGCAAGTTACTTCTAACGCGATTCTTCAGCATGCGCAAGATACCCTGGATGTTCCCGTGTCGACCAGAATCATATCGCGTAGATTGGTTGAACGTGGCCTGCACTCACGGCGTCCGTAAGAAGACTGCCATTGACCCCACAGCATAGCGCCAACGTTTAGAATGGTGCCGGACTGGAGCGATGTGGGATGACAGAATGGCGAAACGTCGGTCTCAGATGAGTCACGCTTCTGTTTATCCGTGACAGGCGCCGCATAAGTGTGTGGCGTCGACGTGGAGACAGATCTTATCCGGGCAGTAACTGTGGATGGTGCCCACCGAGCGACAACGGGGCAATGGTTGGGGCGCTATTGCCTACGATTCCAGGTCCCCTCTAGTTGTATGAGGCACTATGACGGCCCAACGTACTTGGAAAATGTAATGCGGCCGTGGCAATCCGTACCTTCAGGGGCATGCCAATTTTTCAGCAGGATAACCCGACACACAGTGCTCGCGCTGCCAACATGCTCGCAAGGTATGCAGATGCTTCCCTGGCCACCGTACTCTCCGACCTGTCACAATCGAACATGTGTAGGATGTGATTGGACGCCGTTTGCAGACTCTGCCGCCTCGTTCAGAGACGAACTGTGGCAATGGTTGAAAGGGAATGGAGAGGCATCCCTCAGGACACCATCCGCTCGCTTATTGACTCTATGCCTAGACGTGTTTCTTCGTGCATCGCTGTCCACGGTGGTCCTACATCCTACTGAGCCGACGCCGTTCTCGCTCTGTATTGTGACTATCATTTTGAAATAAAGATCACTTATTGCTGCTTGTTGTCTCTGTCTTTTTCCCAAATTTCATCACTTTTTGACCACTCCTTCTTGGTGTGGCATTTTCAATGTCGAGCAGTGTATTTCAAAAATAAATAAATGTGACCGCTCCTGTTAATGCAAACTGTGTTTGACTCACACTAGCAACGAGTGTGCCCTCGAGTGACTAACCAGAAGAGAACTTCAGTAAAGGCCAGGTGATGAACCTGTTAGGTAGCACCAGATTCTTCCTCTGCAAATATTAAAATTATATGTTATGTCCGTACGTAACTTAATACAGTTAATAAATTATTGTTACACGATAAAGGACTCATTTACAAACCCATCCAACATGACCCCCTTATATAAATAAATAAATAAATGCAGTATCTCATACGCAATGAACGTTTTTTTTTTTTTTTTTTAAAGAATGTGTATTTTAACTGCGAATTAGACAAAATATAAACAAAGTTACTGCTTTCCCCACCAACATAACATGGTAAAAACAATATAATTAAAATAATTATTTCGGCTCCACTGCGATCTCAAATATAAACATTGATTTAAAACAAATTCCCACTGTTTTTCCTTTTCCTTTGCCTAACTTTACTCTCTGTTTTTCCTTTGCTTCGAAGCTGACAAAAATATTCTAACTCTGTTTCACATTTTTTTTTATTTCATTTCGTTTAGGCTTTGAGGTCTACTTCAACGTCTCCAGATTCTGTAAGTGGCAGAGAGGGTAAAATTCGAAACCCAGAACTGGAAGACGGCATTCAGGATTACCTTCTTAAAGTTATGAAGAATGTAAAACACGCAATGAAAGCATATGTGGTAAGTAATACTCTTCCTAAACTCAGTGTATACTCAATAACTATACAATATTTTATTCATTTATTTAGCTACGTATGAGTGCATAATAATCATTTGTTGCCATATCTTTATGAAATTAAACAAATTTAACTACACAGCATTTATAACTTACTGGAATGTTTGTAAGTTTTCTGAATATTTTTTTTTGCCAGAAAACTATTAGGGAAGTATTCAGAAAACTATTAAGGAAGCATTCTGCTGTAATTCTTTTTGCCGAATTTTCGACGATAGTTTTTTCTCCTATAATTATACCTAAAAACACTGAGCATAGATTTTTCTGTCTGTTCTGTAGCGATAATCGATGTCTATTTTTTCGTTACACATATGAACTGTTATATGAAATCAAATTTTAAATAAAAACCTTCACGATAAATATCAAATAGTACCATTTTAAAGAGTGCAACAGTTTGGTACTCTTCACTTCATTCGAATAACATAATATTCGAATAACCAAATAAGAGATATTTTTCACCCACCTTTATATTATGCATTATTCATGCATACAACAGACTTTCAATATATTTCAGGTTCATTTCTCGCTTTTTTTTTTTCGAAATTTAGTTGACAGCGCTATGATAAAACTTTGTTCTCCAGTCCTTTCTCTCAATAAAATTTTATTTGGTCAAAATATAACCATGATTCAGGAAATAACATTCTAACTTAAATATTTGATTAGTAAGAAAATAATTTCGTTTTCTTAGTGTGAAATAAACGTCAAATTTTTTATATAAAAAATTAGCTTTAATCTGTCTAAAAGCTTTCACTTTGTACGATGACCCTTTGCCATCTTTCTAGCGACTTCATGTGATCTTCAAACTTCTGGTCTTTATCAGCAAAAAAACTCTTACCAAGTGTGATTTGAGGCTATCATTATTGCTGAAATTTTTACTATTTAAGACGTTTTTTTAAAACTTGAAATAAATGACAGTATCATGGGGCAAGTTTGAGGCTATATAGGGTAATGTCACATTCGCTTCTCCAATAGTTTCCTACGTATTGCTAAAGATGTATGAGGACACGCATTATCGTGTTTAAACACGATTCCTCTGCAGTTTACCAACTCTGGCCGCTTCTGTTTGATTGCTTCCTCCAGTTTCATAAATTATTGGTAGTAAGCATCTGAGTTGATCTTTTGGTTGCTTGGAAGCAGCTCAAAATACACATTTTTGTAACCCACCAAATTGACAACAGATCTTTTTCTGATAGAATTTAGTTTTCGATATGATTTGTCCTGATTCTCATGCTGGACCACGATCTTTTTAGATTAATGTTATTGCAGACGATCCAGATTTTATCACCAGTGATAATTCGTTTTAAAAAAAGGGGTCGACTGCATTACGTTTGAAATGAATATCGCAAATACTGATTCGTTAAGTGAATTTCTTTCAATTCATGCGGGATTTAAATATCGAGCTTCTTAACGAGTCCAAGACATCTTATTTTCAATTGATGTATGTGATACATTTAACCTTTTTGCAATCTCTCGCACAGTTATATGACAATTTGATTCAATTTTAACATCACCAACGTTAGAAGGTCTGTCAGAACGTTGATCATCTTCAGGTGAAAAATGTTCAGAACGAAATTTTTAAACCAATTCAGACCCATGCGTTCTGTTAGGCAGTCAACACCATAAACTTAGCATTTCTCTTTGTAACCCTAGCCGCTTTCTTGCCTTTATGAAAATTAAAAAGTAAAATATGTCGAAAATGTTCATTTATGCACTCCATGTTAAAATTTATCGTAAACTAACAGTTTTATACAAAAATCAACGAGGTTAGAAAAAGCCACCCTCATATGTCCCGTGCAATGAAAATGAAGCTATGAAACGTCACTACTTGACGTCACGACGTATCATGGCGGCTACCATAAGCGTATCTGGTTGATCTTGTTTACAGTCTAATCGGCGTTGTCTACACTACAGGCCATTAAAATTGCAACACCAATACAAAAAAGATATTTATTGTACGTAAACAGTATGGTATAACGACAAAATGATTAAATTTACAAGCAGTTGGGGGTTTTACAGGGCTGCGAAATTGCTAGAAATAGCTGCCACACCTGGAAGCTAAAACGGCCTGTACCCTGTTAGGCATTGAGTCGAACTGGGCTTGGATGACAGAAACGGTCATCTCATTCCATGCTGCTTCAAGTCTATACGACACTTCATCAGCCGTATCAGCTGAACACGGGTGGCGAGCCAGTCTCTCAGCAACCCTTGACCAGATGTTTTCAATAGGTGACAGATCTGGAGATCGTGCAGGCCAGAGCAGCAATTGGATACCCTGTGTATCCAGGAAGGTCAGAACACAACTTGCAACATGTTGTTTTGCATTATCTGTTGGAAGATGGCGTTTCGCAGGCCTCGAAGATAGGGCACAACCACTAGACATCAGAAATGTACCGATCTGCATTCAAATTACCGTCAATCCGAACTAGAGATGTGCGTGTCGTGTACCCAATGGCTGCCAAAACCATCACACCAGGTAAAGGGCCCGTATGCCAACATCGAATGCAAGCAGTCGACGTGCGGTCATTTCGGAGCCTCCAGACACGTATACGGCCATCAGAATACTGCATGCAGAACCAGGACTCGTCTGAAAAGATGGCATTGTGCCGCTCCTGTATCCAGCTTTGTCGTACGACGCACCAGAGTCGCCGTCTCTCTCTCTATCCTGCATTGTTAAGAGAAGTCGAAGTAATGGTCGCCGGGCTGACAGTCCATGCTGCTTCAAACGTTGACATTCTGTACGAGCTGATACTGGACGTGCTACAAACATGCCCATTTCCTGACTAATGGTCCGTGATATGGTAATAAGGTTTTTCAGGGCTGACCTCACAATATGTCTGTCCTCTCAGACGTTATTCATGGGAGGGCGTTGAGATGCTGCATGCCGTTCCGTATGACCCTCAGCAACCCATTGATTCCATATTCGCATGACTGCGAAGGGCGATATCACGGAACGATAATCCACACTATCGATAGGCAACGATCGCGCCTCTATCAAATTCCAACATTTGCTGTTAACTATTTCTTTGTCTTATTCGAGGCATAAAACGATATTCTGATCAAACTCTGACCTTAGAAAGCGCTTTCCGAATAAGAAATCCTCTACACGACTTTTCCTTTATGCAGTGCTTCAGATGTCGTTTCTTCCTCCTGCATCGTCTAAATGCGCTGAAATACTAATCTTTTGTATCCCAACCTCTTCTTCCTTTTGTGTGGTTTTGACGTTCATCAGGTCATCTCTTTCTAGTGTTGCAGTTTTAATGGCCAGCAGTGTACATGTTAGCTATTCATCATTGACCATTTATATGTCTCCCGTTCTATTTTTAAGACTTAACATGAAATAGTGTCTACTTAGTGCATAGAAAAACCACAAGGACTACAAATAACTCCTTCAAATTAAATAAAATCTTGGTACATGAAAATGTATAAATGGTAACTGTAATACAAATGCATACATGATAAAACCTGGAAGATCAGTGAAAGTTTCAATGGTGATATATGCAAATTATGCTTGTAGACACTTTTCTGAGCCTGCAGATGTTTATATTTGGTTTAAAATTCACTGTAATAATTTTATTTAGTAATATGCTTCGTAATCTTACCGTACACTCTATGGCGGCCATGATAAGTCTTGACGTCGCGTTCCTGACGATTCCTTGGCTTCTCTTTTGTCACGTCAGACTTATTCCATTGTATTCTAACCTCCCTGACAAAAATACATATTTTTCTATAGCAACCGAGAAGCGTCAGCTGCCGAATCTAAAAAGAAAGAAAATTATAAGACTCACAGAAAAATAACAAAGCACAAGGCTAACATAATGCTATTTATTTATGCAAACCGAAATTACTTACTTGCCAACCCAATATATCTGATCGTCCATGAAAGCCATTACTTCATTTGCTTGATGAGATTTATTAAAATATATCATCAGTTGCATGCATACTAATATGTTTAATTATATCGGTCCATAATTCACTTTCAGATAGAGCAACAGCAACAACTGCAAAAACGAATAATACAGTTAGAGAAGGATTCGCGAGAGAAAGATGAACTCATTAAGAAGCTGCGAAGTCGCCTAGAGCACCAGGTAGGTTCACATCTTTGATCTCACTAATTTATTTCTAATTAATATAATTCCTCTGTATTATTAATGGATTGAATATTTAAGATAGTATATCGTCTCTTTCATCTTATATTAGACATGTTATATTAATGTTAGGCAGTTATATCAGAATTTAAGTAATTATACCGACCTTTATATGCTTATTCTCGAAATTCTTAAGCGTCCAGATATAGAAACAAAATTCCTTCTTGTGAATATTTGCTGATGCAGATAATGATTCTTTTTTTACTTGTACGAAGTAAAGGTAATATTGTAATCGCGAAAAATTTCGGGGATCATATTTCAAAGAAAATATCCATTTCAACTGCCCTCGAAACCATTTGAACAATGTTTTTGCGTGACATCCTAATGTACAGACAGAGTAAAGGACTGCTTTTACCAAAAAAGGATTGTAAATTGGATTTAAAACGAAGTGTTTTTTCTTGACGTCTGTACGTACATACGTATGTATGAATGCATCTCGCATAACTCAAGAACTAGTAGCCGTAGAAAGTTGAAATTTTATATAAGGACTTCAATAACATGTAGCTGTGCACATCTCCTTTTCGCTGCAATTGGCTGCACCATTCGTATATGTATGCACTCTGTTACCTGGCTTGATGAGCATAGTTTTCTTATATGTTGGTAAATTGTACATTTTTTTTTAAATGACTGAATTATGTTTTTCTTATCTTCAGGTTAAGATTTTTACGCCTTTAGTTAATCTGCATGCAATAGCTGTAGAATTATCAGCCATTTAAAAGTAGCGAGTTAAGCCTAATGAACCGCCTTTTGTTTACATTTGAAACTCAGTAGAATAGTGAATTCAGGGTTTTTTTGCCAAATGAGATCAAAAGTAAACAGTTTCAGTTTTGTGCACCGAAAAATCTCTCTTTTTGCCCGCTGGCCGAATTGCTTGTTGTTGAGTAGAAACTCTCATTTTAATTTTAAAAAATATTTTTAAACTTTTTTAATGTATTTAGTGATTTATGTTTTTCTTTATTTTACAATTTTTAATAAAGAAGTTTTGCGTTTTTACTTTTTTTTACTTTGTCGCAGAGTGAGAACTGAATTAATTGAATGAGAAATATATCTCTATTGAAATTCGAGGAAATAAGTTTAAATGAAATGCAGCAAAAAATATGTATAATTTAACAGGCTATACAAGGAAGTCATGTGGTGCCCATATCAGAATTTTAGTCCAAAGGGGCAATTTGCCCAGAAGGACTATTAATTTCGTTTTGATATTTTCCGTTAGTTCACTATAAATGTCGGGTCACTTTTCACATTGTTGCCACCAAATATTACAGATCTGTATTATATTTAAATAAATTAAATAAGGAAGAATCTTTATAAATGTATGTTTCTCGAATTGTGATAAAACAACAGTTCCTAGAGCAATCGAATTTTGAATAACGTACGTTTCCACCCGAATATGGGCATCTGGAAGCCCAAATTTGAAATCTGGAATTTGTTTTAATGGATTTCATATTTTGAAAAACTTTAACGAATTTTTGATTAAAAACTCAAGGATTTGAAAGCGAACAATGGCAACGTTGTACAGTAAAATCTTTTTTATCTCCAACGCACGAGACTCTGTATCGGAAATTCTAAAGATATGCTCAATTTAAAACTATTTTGGCGATATTGTTCTTGAACTGAATTTTATGGTTTAAGTGCGAAGAACTTGATATTTAATAAATAAATGTAACAGGCAAAATGTTAAAAAAAAAAACGCCCCCTTGGACGCAATTTAAAAAGTGCGACCTTTCAAATTTTCTTTCTCTCTCTGTCTCTCTCTCTCTTTTTTTTTTTTTTTTTTTTTGTGTGTGTGTGTGTGTGTGTGTGTAAATAGTAATATCTTTCTCTTCGTGCTGTTCTAGTAAATGTCACGTTACTTGCAGATTAAAGTACAGAAATGTGAACTTCATGATCAAACTTTAATCCTATAGCAGTTGTAATGATGTAATTCTGCCCCAAAAGCCAGATTCGGCATACTGCTATCTATACTATTGATATCTGTGGCCCGTCTGTCTGTCTGTTTTGTTTGTTTACTTACTTGTTTGTTTGTGACATCATCTCCTCCGGAAAGGCGGGAAGTTGAGTTTCGAGAGGTGCACTGGCTCTTGTCTAGATGTACCTATGTACCAAATTTCGTAGCCCTGGGTCTATTAGCTTACGCGCAGCACGAACAAAAGACACACACACAGATACAAACTCTTTCTTTTATTATATGTAAAGATGGTCACATTCTGACGTTGAAGAAAGCACGCGATTGCATGTGATATCATTGTATGTCGAATTTTTTTGTTAACGTTAGCGTTTTAAATAAACAGCTGCTATTGGCAGCTTTTTGTTTCAGCTTAAGATAATTGACATGATATGTTATTGCCACATTAATTCTTTTATTGATATAAAGAAAAAGTTGTTATATTACATTAAATGTACATCATGACGTCGTACGTATACATATTAACTTGAGGTATCAAAAGCTTTTGTGTTCTGGTATGGCAACAAAAAAATTATTTAAGAATTCGTTGTTGCTTGAAAAGAATGAACTGATTTCATTCATACTGAAATGTTTTTATACATTTTCTTTTCACATGTACATAGAGCTTGTAAATTTTGCTTTGGCAGAAGTCCGCTCATCTGGCAGGCTTGCCCGCTAGTATTTTTACTGTCTCGTGTTTTATTCTTATTTTAGTGAATTTAATTTTGTCAGCTATTAGATTTTCTGACCAGTGTAACCAACATTTATCATATCACAGAAAATGAATGTATGTGTAACTTACTCCCAAGAAACAATATACCTCTTTTCTAAGCAAAGTCTCTTAATTCGTAAGCAGCGCTTACATTTTCTACTATGAATATTTGCAGCTCGAAATTCTGAAATAAACTCACGGGGTATTGTCATGATTTGATGATTATTTGATGACTCTAGAACATTTTAACAGGCTGTAATTACTCCAATTAAGAATCAAATCACCTTCGAAGAAATATGGCTGCTTTCTGCTCTATGCTAAGACCTTTGAATCAACTTTTAAAAGTGGATCCACCATAGCTATATGTATAAAATATCTATCTTCTCGTTCACTGATGTGACATAGCCTTCGGTACCCTTCAAATTTATGAGTTTATTCATCATCGGCACACTGATTCCATATTCGCTTCTTTGTGGCTGTAATCTCTAAAATATGACCACCTGTTTCTTTTTAAGGTTCATTAGTAATTTGAATATGCTGCAGTTTTATTATGATAGAAAACTTGCTGCTTTTGTTGCCGTATTCTTCGATGAGATGTAAGCCGATTAACGGAGTATTGTCATGCAAGCACGGCGAGTAAACAACATTTCCCACCTCTACATCTTTCAAGAATCATTATTAGCCTCTCTAACTGTTTCGCCAGTAATTATTTATATATCCTCCTGGATCTACGAATCATACAAAGCTCAATGGACTTGAGTATTTTTTTTCCTGGAATTGCAATTACCTCTATGTTTCAAATCATAATAAACTACCGGTGCAGCCTTCTGTGGCTCCAGGGAGTTGTTGCTTCTAAATAGGGGAGGACGCGGGACACATGCCTGCTTACCTATGTTACACACCAGGCGTCCCCGTCCTCCGTCACTTGTCACCTGGAATTGCAATTTTAATTATAAGTAGTGTGGGTTACCGTACATCGATTATGGTAATGCACGTCACGTATGCCATCACACATACAACATCAGTAAACATGGGATACCTGATATAGCTAAGTTATCTTGCGATATAAATATCGCATGTTATCAATGAGATTTTTGTGTAATATGCTTTCATTTACTTCTAAAGCACGAAACAACAGAAATGTGAATTTAAAAATATTGGAAATGACTGATTTTTGAATTCTGTGATTCGATGTTATTTTAACTCACAGTTTCGGTAAAACAAGATTTTAATTTTGTTGTTATAAGCAATCAAACATGTGCCATACAAAAAAAATTTTAATAATTTCGTAAATCATTATTCATTATTCATATACTACTTATTATTTTCATTATTCATATGTTTATTTATGTTATATGTTTAATTTCTGTAATTTCATAGTTTCTTGACTTTGCAATAGAGTGGCTATGGAACATATTAAATTTTTGCTCTGCTTCCTTCATAAATCTTTCCTTTCGTAGTGTATATAAGCAAAATTTTTATTTTGTCTCGCTCTTCAAAAAATAAAATAAAACTTAGTACAGCACAAAGTCTTTAATCTGGACTCGTCGGGACTTCGGTGATTCCGGATTAGGGTTTTTTTTTCGGATTATTGATCATCAATTTAAATCTGGTAAGATGGCATGCAGAAATTATAAAATTAAAAATATGAAACCGTAATTTATGAAATAAAGAGCAATTATGATCTAAAGGGTATCAAAATTTACAAAAACTTAATATTTATTTGTTTACTTTATTAAACATTTCTTTCAATGTAAGTTGTTTAAGTTGCTTCGTTTTTTGTGCTAATACGCTCTCTTTAATTCTATAAACAGACATATTTTCTTGTTCAGTTCCACTGTTCAAGTTCTGTAATTGCTGTGTCGAGAATACCGACTAACTTGTCAATCGAAATTTTTTCGTTTTCAATAACCTCTCTGTCACTTCAATAACCACTCTGTTCACTATCGGAAGCGGTACATCGAAACATGCTTTTGCTTTGTAAATCCTTTGGCAGCTCCAGAATCGGAAACTCTTTTTGACATAATCGAAAGTTCAAGCTTACTTTTTATGAATTGCTCTAACAGTCTGCAAAAAATAATAAGACGAATCCAGTTAGAATATTAAGGAATAATGCAATCTGCAACATTAACTGAAATAGATAATTAGATAATTTTAGCCTAGCTTATACCGTCTGTTAGACATTAAACGAGCATACGTAAACGTATTATGCGCATGCGTAAACGCTACGCATGCGCAGAAAGTTTGCAGCTTTGAGGTCCGGATTATGGACGTCCTGATTAA